AACACAATGTCATAAAAAGGTGACATAATGTCACTTTTTAAAGTTAAGTGCTTTTTAATAATAAAAGTGATATTTGTTATTCAAAAAAGTGAAGGAAATTTTAAGAAAATAACTGAAAACTTAAAAAAAATGACAAACAGTAAAAAAAGTGACAGAAATTCAAACAAATTGATAAATAGTCAAAAAATGACAAAAATTCAAAAAGTGACAAAATACTAATTAAAAAATTGAAATTAGTTCCATAAAGTGACTAAACTTTTCATTTAACTCCGTTATTATCTTGTGCGTAAAATATGATACGACTTTTCTTTAAACCTACATTTCTGAGAAATTATTAAATCTCAATCCTATAAAAAGAAAGTAACACATTAAAAAAAAAAAAAGTAACGGACAATAAAAAAGTGACACTAGGAATGCAAAATATCATAATTTAAACACCATCGTTTTTTGCTTGATAGTCATTTGCATTAATCTATCATTGTCTTTTCAATTGCATACTCATCTATACCTCAAAAAAATGAGACAAATTTTTAAAAAGTGAGAGAAAATGACAAACATTCAAAAAAAAAAAAAAAGTAACAGACAATAAAACAAAGTGACACAAGTTCAAAATGTGACTTGGAATAAAAAAAAGTGATTAACACTGAAAAACATTCACTTTTTTTGGTGTAGTAATTGAGGCAGTTGAAAGCATGATTTTAATCAACAAGTGGAACGCATCATGATTTCAAAGGGAAATAGTCGAACAAATCAAAACCATAAAATGTAGATAGATATAAAGAAGCTAAGTTGTCTATGAACAACCAATTCAACTTCGTATGTAGGTTTTAATCAACAAACGACTCTATAACATCTAATTGATACATACAATCCACCTTAACAAAAAAACAATTCTAAGATGATAATAACAAATCCACACGAAAAATTATCAAATTTAGTACTTGAATTCATTCCAATGGCGCAAAATACTGAATTTGACCGAGGGTGAATCTAACCAGCCCCTCCAGGATCATCAAAATCACAAGCCATGTGCCTTGACATCCTCCTCTTCTCTCCACCACATACATCTCAAATCACTCGGCAAAAACCTATCAAATAGAACAAATATCGATGTAGGAATTCCAATAATTTCCAGACAAAAGCAACAACTAGTATTCCAAAACTTTACCCTCCACTTGCAATTTCATTGTATGGACTGCAAAAACGAATGGACACTTATGCAAAGAGTCTTCATATTTACCTAATTGTGCATTGTTCAAATTTACTGAATTGGTCAATAAACTTCACAAGGATGCTTCCACAATTTGTATAAAAGGCATATGATGTTTATTTAAATACATCACGCTGTCAAATGTAAATGTAATTTCCAATTGAGACATTTTGTCACCTTGAAGGTGTCTTAGAAAATCAAAGGGAAAGAATGTACCATTTAGTTTTGGAGCTAATCTAAATTTTAATGACATTTTTTTATGCATTTATACACAAACTCTATCATAAAGAAATTGATTAAACCTTTGAGATGCAAAGATTACCATGCTTCTTTATCAGTTTTTGGAGGAACCTCAGTCAGAGAATCGTTCCTTTCCTACAAATGCTCATGATTGGAGCTTTTAACTTCTTATCATTTTTGAATGTGAGACAAAATAGTTTGTGGATACCAAGAATAATGTCATTGTTTGCTTAAATTTGAAGACCCCCATCGAAAATTAGTTATGACTTTCCATACGATCATCAAGGGTAATCTTTCCACAGTTACCTGTAAGATTTCTTTCTCCGAAACCATACCCATCTCCTTGAGCTTGTAAATAACTCACTGCCATATACCTAGAGGAAGGAAAACCAAATTAAAAAAGAAATATGCAAAACTTAATGCAATTCTTTTGAAGAAATTACAACGTATTCACCTTCTCAACAAATTCATAACACATTTGAGGTTTTCTCTCTACAAGAACATTGGAGTCGAAATTGAAATTGAAGTCGAAGTCAAAGTCGGAGTCGGAGTTGGGAACGAAGGTTTCTCGAGAGTTATCTGATTTAGGGATTTCCCTTTCTGATTTGGGTTTTTGTCACGGGTTAAGGTTTTGAACGTAATTAATAAGGTAATAGTAATTTTGATTAATTTTAAGGTATTAATCAAATACTTAATTTTTATAGGGTACTGTACCTAATTTTCCGAAACATACAACGGGAAGGTATATAATGTTCTGAAGCCCAAATAGAGCCCAATTTTTAGTGTATTTGTGTAAGTTGCCCTTCCACTTCCATATAGGGAAAATTAGATTAATTACTTTCCAAAATTAAAAAAATTGAATAATACCGTATTAACTGATTAAAAACTTTAGCCATGTAATTATTACGTTCTAAACCCCCAAAACTCCAAAGACCCAAATCAATGCCCCTGATTCCAGAAAACTCATAAACGATTACAGGGAAGGGAAATCCTCAACCAAAACTCCAATGCTCAAATCAAAGCCCCTGATTCCCGATTCTAGAAAACTACTAAACGATTACACGGAAGAGAAATCCTCTACCAAGCGACGACTCCGCCCCTGATCCTCGCCCATAACTGAGGTTCTCCTCACCCATTACAGATTTCGAATTTATTCATTTTTCTGAATTAAATGGATGTATAATTCATTTTGGGTTAGCTGATTTGCAATTGGAACAATGAATGGGTTTAAAATCTTCGATTGTAATACTGGAAGTCTCCTTTACGGACGAGGTATGTATATGTATGCATTTGATTGTCAATTGAAATTCTATTTTTTATGGCTTAATTTTGTATGTTAAAATCACCTATTGAAATTGGATTTATTTTGTTAGTTATTAAGGCTTTTGTGATTGTTGAAATGCTACCCAGTTCAAGTATCCTTGCCATTTGTTGTGCTTTTGATTTTGAATTTTCTCCATGAGTAATTGTATTAGTTGTGTTGATTAAGTGTAGCCTAATAGATTAATGTTGTTTGGTCCATTGTAGTACTTATCGACGGCTTTAGTTAGTTTTTCTAATAGGTGTTTGTTTAAATTGTTTCTGCACTTGTTATTCAGACAACATTATGAGATAATTCTTGCTCTACGTCCACGGGTTCAGTGAGGTGTATTTGAAACTATTATAGTTAATGAAGTGTTTTCGATTCTATATCAGAAAGAAGAAGGGGCAACTGAAGACCACATTGTCGACTTCTGTTCGATCCTCATTTACTAATCTGGAGGGAGGTCATCAAAATCTGAATTCAGCTCTGAAAATGCTTCAGATACAAGCATGGAGTCGATATAAAGGATCCAATTTTCGAATGTGTCCAAAAGGCCCAGCAAATTTCAAAGTTTTCACTTTTTCAGAGCTCGAGCAAGCTACAAATATCTCTGAATCGAGCTCGGGGAAAGTGGACTTGGATGTATATTTATTGTTCTAACTAGTGAAATCTATTGTTGATGTCTTTTGATTTTTCAATAAAGTTGTTTTATAACGTATTTATATCATGATCTGAATTTCTTCTATTCTTCTTTTCTGTTTTTTTAACATGAAGTTGATATATTATGAACACCATGATTTGATTCAACTGTCAAATTTGCTTCTATCTTTTATGTTTTAATAGTTAGAATGTATTCATGTGATTCAGAGGCTTGCTAAATGAAATCTGTCATAAGTGTTGATAGTGTTAGGCTCCTAGAGTTGTCTCGCCATTTTTTTTAAGTGGAAGTCTATTCAACTTTGTATAATATGTTAAGAAATCTAAGTATATGTGATTGTTATTTTTCATTAGCAATTCATTTTCCTCTTTATCAAATATTATTATTGCTCGAATAAGTAGTGTCAATGAACTGATTCTAAGGTTAAAGTTGAGTGACTAATTGAGGTAGTTTTGGAAAAGTTCAGTGACTATTTAGGGTAGTTTCGAAATTCAGTGACCTCTTAAAACTTTTTTCGAAGTTCAGTGACTAATTAGGGAAGTTTTGAAGTTCAGTAACCTCCTGAGAACTTTTAGCAAAATTTTGTGACTATTTAGAATATTAACCCTACATTCTTCACATATACTTGCGAAAATTCTCATTATGTTTTCTGAAGAAAAAATGATGTCCAATTTGTCACTTTTTTTAGTATTCTTCAATTTTTTGAATGTGTCACTTTTTTTAGTGTTTGTCACTTTTTTTTGTCACTGTTTTCAGTCGCCTTTTTGAAATTTTTATCACTTTTTTAGTAACAAACATCATTTTTAATAAAATATAAATTGTATGTATTTAATAGAAAGATGACACAAAACTTTTAAAAGTGACATTGTGTTACTTTTTTGTGTGTTTGTAACTTTTTTTCCTACCACTTTTTTGAATTTTTTAAACTTTTAAAAGTGACACTGTGTTACTTTTTTGTGTGTTTGTAACTTTTTTCCTACTACTTTTTTGAATTTTTTCACTTTTTATCACTTGTTACTTTTTAAAAATTTCCCACTTTTTTTTATAACAAACATATGTTTTGATTGGTGTTTTGTTACATTTTTAAGTATTTGTCACTTTTTTGAGTTTGTATAACTTTTTGAGTGTGTGTCACTTTTTTTAAAAAAAAGTGTAAAAAAGTGACAATTTTTATAAAAAAAGTGACATTGTGTCACTTTTTTATTTTACACACTATTTTTTATTTCCTAAAAACCTTTCACATGATTTTTCAAAACACCCCTAATTTTAAGGGTATTTTTGTAAGTATCCCTCTCATATATGTGCAAAAGCCCAAACACTGCATCAATTGTCGTTTAGTGGGTAGGATCAAGCTACAGTGGCTCTTCTTCAGAAGTGGGGGCCAACATATTTATTCAGAAAATATAAATATGTCTGTATTTATTATTTTAGTATATAAAATTCAATCTATAAAGAGAAAAATAAAATAAATATGAATAATCATTATTAGAAAAGTCGCATAAATAATATACTTCTATTGGTTTACACGATAAAGTTATTCTCTTATTCTAATTTCTCTGTTCTTTTTGGACAAATTCGTCTAAGGATTTTTAAGAATCTGGTATCCAGCTTTGGTCATCACATGAAGAACAACCATCCTCAGCAACATCAGTTATTTGCAGCCCAGAATCATAGATCTCACCATTCTTCCAATCAGCAGGAAGCACACTTTTTGCCCAATACCATTTCCCGTCGTACCCAGCCGTCACAGCGAATCGAAACTGCAACGCCCCAATCGGAACTCTACTGGTTTCCCAAACGGCCCCGTGACTTCGACTCATGAAGGTCCAGTTGGACGGATCAGCTTGTGCAGCTACATCGACCGCGACAATTTCAGTTTTACCACCTTGATACAAGAACATAATTGCCAAATAATGTGGCTTTTGGCTAGATTCCTCGACTCGAATGGCCAAGTTCTTGTTTTTATAGTCACAAGGAACCCTGTTACCCAATAATATTTACGATCAGACAGACAACCTCATCAGAAATTCACTCAATAAATGCCCAACGTTTACCAAAAGTAATCAAATTGTCCAGTTGATGCCTATCCAGTGGGAAAGCTCCAAGACATGACATGGCCCAGTACATTTATTGTTGTACCAATTGACACAATTTTTCGTGGTGGGTATAACTAAAGCACTACATTAATTAATCTTTATCATAAAAATCAACCCATTTCATAAAAATTAAAGAAACTGAAATTTTATGAGTAATGACTCAGTTTATGTAGCAATTATATGACATTAAATGATATATTCATTTAAATATAAAGTCACATGACTCATTTAATTGAGTCTATCATTTAATGTCATGTAATTAACAAATAGACTGAGATTCAACCCCAATGAAAATGAATAGCATTATTCAATTTTATTCATCAATGTTCACCTTTTGTACTCGACATTGGCAATGCCAAGTTTCAAAATGTTCGGACCCATTCCCTTTTTAGCCATCGCCATGAAAGCTCTGCTACTCACAACAAAATCGGTCTTGTTATCGTTGTTACGATCCGTTACGATCACTGTAGTCCCTTCCTTTGAGCAAAGGGTGTTGTCCTTGCATCTTATCTACATTCAACATATATCCAATCAATTCAAACTTACTACATTTTTTTTTTTAAAAGTTACATTTAAACGTTGCTGATAATACACTATTTGTACCTGAAAACATGCACCACAACCAGCTCCTTCTTTGTACAGGGTGGTGGTGGCTGCTGCAAGACGGCCGCCGTTGAATCCTATAGCCAAAGAACCATAGCCACAAGCACCGGCTGCAATGATAATTATATAAATAACTACAATTCCCCACTAAAATTACAAGTAAATTATGGGGGAAAAAATGATTCTTACATTGAAGGGCTTCAGCTTTAGAAAAGAAAGAAACTTTTGCTTGATGCAGACATTGTTCACAATCAGCAGTTGCTGAGGAGAAGAGAAGGAAGATTAAGCAAAGTAAGATGGGCATTTTTGCTGAGGAATGTGTGAATATTGTTGAGAAAGAAAAGAGAGTGGAGAAGGTAAATATAGAGAGAAAACGTGTGAACAGATGGTGGAGTACAGGTCAGAGTTTAAAAATAGGCAAACTTAGCATATTATTTTGTTAATTAATCACTCACAGTTACAGTCGAAAGTTCTGAGATGGAGGAAAGGAAAAAAGATGGGCATTTTCAAATAGGCGGCGAGACAATATTGATTATTACGCGGTGAACTTTTTGCCTATGCATAAACAGCTGTAGGGAACAAAA